GTGGATATACACACATGAATGCGGGTGTCCACAGAGCCCAGAAGGTTCCCTAGAGCTAGAATTACAGGTGGGTACGAGCTACACAATGTGGGTGCTCAGTATTTACATAATCCCACCTCTGTCTCATCTTCCTCCAACTCTTGCTCTCTGTCCCCTCTCAAACCCACGGACTCTATTGTTAAATACACACATGCACGAAAGTAATCGATACAACCTGCTGAGTTCACTCAGTGTTGTCTTTTTATGGATGTTTGGGGGCTGACCACTTGATGTTGGGAAACCAATTAGGGGGCTCAACCCTGGGGAAGGTCAGTCCACCACTCTCATCAATTACCTGTAGTTCTTCACCTAGGGTTGGGGCTTGTGCTGTGCCCAATATGTGTGTGTTTTCCTCTCCAGCCCTTTGTCTTGTTGGTTATTTTAAAGCTCAGTCTCCCATTCCTCTCCCAAGAATAATGATTACAGGATTTTCAGACATCCTTACTTAGAAAGCACTCTCTTACTTAGAGATGGCTGGGTTATTTTATCAGCAGGTATCTATTTTTATCTGTTCTCTGCATCGATTGATCCACTGGCTTTCTACACTTACTCTATAGTGAAGGGGATCAATTTTCCAATATACCCTTCTGTTGCATTCCTGAGTTCTGTTTGATCAGTGTGTTAGGCTCATGACTATAAAAGACACATATTTTTCATCCCTCGTATAGGTTCTATCTAATGTTACTATAAAGACACCTTGGCTTTGGCTGTAGGGGACATGCTAAATTATTATCTGCATAAATTTGCATATAAGAATAACCCATTCTTTAAAGCTATTGGTGCCTAAAACTTTATGAAGGAAATTTTTAACTATTTCATTTAATAAGACTAGTAAAGCTTATTTCTTCTTAACTTTTTTCCTGGAACTTTTCCACTTGGCTTGAATGTTCATGTTAACTGGCATGTCTGATGATGCCCACCGTGATCTGGTGAATATATGCAGAATCTGTAAAGACTCCCAACACTGGCTATGTTTTCTTTTCCTCTGCAGTAAACTTGCCTTTAAATGTTGTCTCCTTTGTCCATTTTTCAGTTGACTGTTCGGTTGTCCATGCATCCTGGGCTGGTTTTACAGATTCCCTTGCTTCACCTCACCATCTTATTTTCTGTAATTTTATTTAGTCCGTTTGTTCACTCTAAATCAGTGACTCTCAACCTTCTGAACACTGTGACCTTTTACTACAGTTCTTCATGTTGTGGTGACCCCAAACCACAAAATTCTTGTTGCTACTTCATAACACTGTCATGAATTGTGACATAAGTATCTGTGTTCTCTGATGATCTTAGGCGACCCCTGTGAGAGGCTCTGTTGACTCTTAGTTAGGGTTTTACTGCTGGGAACAGACACCATGACCAAGGCAAGTCTTATAAGGACACTTAACTGAGGCTGGCTTACAGGTTCAAAGGTTCAGTCCTATCATCAAGGTGAAGACATGGCAGTATCTAGATAAGAACGGTGCAGGTGGAGCTGATAGTTCCACCTCTTATTCCGTAGGCAAACAGGAGAAGACTGGCTTCCAGGTAGCAAGGACCTCAAAGCTCACACTCACAGTGATACACTTCTTCCAACAAGGCCACACCTTCAAGTCGTGGCACTCCCTGGGCCAAGCATATTCAAACCAGCACAATTCCAAAGGAGTTGTGAGCCAGAGGTTGAGAACCACTGATCTAAAGCAGGATTGCTCTGTAATCTCCTGAGGCCCAACAATCTTCGTATCCTGTTTTGTTATTTGATGCTTAGAGTTTAAACATTTTCTAATATTGCCATCTAAAAAGGGGTTTCAAAGTCCATGCTGGCTTTGAACCTGCTATGTAGCGAAGGATGGCTTTGCACGCTTTGTCTTCCTACCTCCTATGGGGGAGGAGAGGAATCAGGCATGGTCATGTACTTCATCCCTTCTTTCCCTTTTTGTCTTTGTAGTACTACGCCATAGCTACCTCTACCTCTAATCCTCCCTTATAAGTTAAAGTTCAGTGATGAATGCTATCAGAGTACGCTCCTAAACAGTTTTCCTAAGTAGTAAGTCAAACCCTCTTGGCATACATAGCTGCAGAGGCTACATGTGGCCAAGCCTCTGTGGAGATGGAGATAGTCCATTTGTCTGCCACTCACTCCCTGGGTCAGCCAACTGCTAACTGTGTGGTCCTCTCCACCTCCAGCGTTCCTTCATTTTTCTCCACACCATGTCCAGTCTCCCCCAAGACCTGGATACTGCCTGTGTCATGGCAGTCTGACAGCTTTCCTCCAGCGGTCCTTCATTTTTCTCCACACCATGTCCAGCCTCCCCCAAGACCTGGATACTGCCCGTGTCATGGCAGTCTGACAGCTGTTTCCCATGTACTTTCCCTCATCTGTTTTCTTTCATCCAGTTCTTTAATTTCTCAAGAGTTCTGTACCAAACCTGACCTTCTGATTTAAACTTCAATTGTCCCGAGTGCCATGGACGATTTCTCTTGCTGCTTCTAACTTGCTTTTCTATTTATCTGATCAATTCTGCGTTTTCCCACACAGCTGTTACCAGAGATCATCCTATCGTGATCTCTAATACAAATAAACCTTAGATGTATGCAACATCAGAAGCTTCTAGACCTCCTGGAGAACATTCCGCAGAGGCACACCTCTGGGTATGTAAACCTGATACTACACGGGACCATATCACTGCTTGCCTGTCCCTGAGACGGCAGTTATGGCAGAGCGCGGTGGATTTCCTGATAACACGTCTGAAGAGTAAACAAGGCGACTTCCAGCTGCAGGGCTGCTGCAATCCTCCTGGGAAGTGCAGGTGCCTGTCAAGGTTAGTAGCAGCTCTCCAGTTTCTTAGGACCTCGCCATGTGAGGCATACAAGAGAATGTGGAAGGAGGAAAGTACAATTGTGTTCTGGAAGGCTAGTCCTTTGGGAGGCTGGATCAATGTACACTGGGTAACGGGCCTCTCAAGCCCTCTTGACACATCCCTTATGAGCCTCACAGCAGAGCTGACAGCCGGTCAGAGGATCAGAGCTGTACAAGATAAGGCTAGCATCTGCCTGGGCAGGAGTCAGGAAGAGGACCCCAGAGCCTTGTTGAGCCGTTCATCATTGCAATCTCTTGGGCCCTGCTGCAGCACAAAGATCTTCCTCATACCCAGTCATGCTGTCCTGAAGACTGGGTGCAGGGGCCGTTACAAGGGCTTAGTATTTTCTTAGTATCTATTCAGGCTACATACAAACATACATATTTTCATACATTTTGTATAAACACTAGCATTTTCTTCACGCTCCATTCTTCTATTTCTAGCCCCTGCGCCAAGCTTTGTGCATACACACTTGAATCCAATTCGACTCTTTTCACGGAATTTGTCATCTCGCAGCATCTTATTTCCATGTGTCTTTACTCGGCCCTTGTTATTGTTGCTCTCACCGATGACACTGCTATGTTCTCTCTAGCAAGGTGAGAAATCTACGGAAGCCCATGCCTCCTGGTCTGTGCGCACGGTTGATGCTGAGGTGTTGGTGCAGGATGATCTCGGTCTCACTGCTCCTGTTCGTCCTGGATCTTCGCTTCGCATTTCCTCTATCAGGAAACTGTCCCCACATGTCTGGCTTGCTTGCATTTGTTTTGTCCTGCTAAGGATCAAAACCAGGGTTCTGTGTGTATCAGCAAACTGTCCCCAAGTGTCTGACTTGCTTACATTTGTTTTGTGGTGCTAGGGATCAAAGCCAGGGCTCTGTGTGAGCTACACATGCAGCCCACCCTCCTTACGATTTTAGCATCTTCTGAACTTGTTCTTCTTCCTTAAGTAGTGTCAACAAAAAGTATTCTGAGGGGAAATCTGAATCTTTGGATGAGCATGTTCAATCTGATTCTGTGGGTGGGCTACATAGTTCAGATGTCTAATGGGAAGTTCAAACACCTTAATACATATGCAGAAAAAGCCATAATGTCCACAGAAGTATACACATGTAAGGTGACTCATCACCACATCATGACAGGAAAAGAACTGAAAACCCAATCTCTAGAGACAATTCAATTATATTTAATTGCAATTAACACACAGATTGGGGTGTAGGGATCCGCACCAGAGACGGCTCAGTACATAAAGGTGTTGCTACCAACCCTGACGCCCTGAGTCTGTTTGATCATGAAAACCCACACAGGAGAACAGATGTGTGACACCACACACGCATGGGCACACCCTCACAGAAACACATCAAATGTAGAAAAAGTATTCTTAAGATGTGAAGGTTCACTGATAGGGACACTTCATTTCTTTACTTTTAAAGCAAGAGGGACGAGCTGGAGAGATGGCAGCTCACGACTGTCTGCAACTCCAATTCCAGAAGGTCTGTGTGCAGCAGGCCAGAGGGAGATGCGCACACACACACACACACAAACATTCACACGCATACAACTAATAAAGGTCATTGTGATTCAGAATTGTGCATATATAAGTAGGAAATATCTCAAAGTCCAAGGCTATTCTCCAGAAATATGAGCATCGTGTTCTCACTGGAGTCAACGAGGCGGGCTGTTTTCCTTTGCTTTCCTATACTGCATCTCCACCACGAACCTCTTTTACTTGTACGAATGATGTTGGTCGTTTCTCCATGAGTGTCAGCTTTTAGCTCAGAGCTGACAGATCCCTTCCTTCTAGACCATGTTCTTGACTATTAATCTTACACTCCTTCTGTTCCATGGCAATGCTCAATGCTAACATGAAACCTATGTCATGATGCCCAAGAATGCTTGCTCGCTGTTCATTTATTACACTTAACAAATCATTATGACAAAGGGACCCTGCATCACAGTGGACAGAATAGAAAGAAAGAAAACCTTTCATATGGATGTCAGCATACACACAGACATGAAGGTGTCCTGTCCACCTGGCTCCGTCCTTGCCTCTCCCAGGGGTACAGAGAGAAGACTACTATTGTCTTCTGCAACTCTCTACGCCGGGTAAGAGCTAAGAAAGACACACACGTTCCGTTTGGTATTTATTTGGTGGTTTTGATTTGCAGTGTTGAATTACCGTCACTAGCACGCCTGTGATTCTTCATAGTGTGCTCCATTAAGGGATGAGAAAGTACAGCTTAGTCAGTTTAAAAGAAGCCACAGCTCTTCTCAGTGTAGTGCAAGAGGAGGGACGTCGGTGGCCCTCTCCTTAGAAATAAATATAGAGTAACCATAAAAATGTTCAGTCATCCTTCAGTGGTCCAGGGAGGCGCACGCATGGCCCTGCACACAGGGCTTCAGAGTTCGTCTTTGAAATAGCCCAGCTTTGCCAACGACATCTCCTTTCTCAACTGCATAACTTCCCAAAACATCTGATCGACTGCACAAACAAGAGAAGAGACATGTAAGTCATAACGTGTTATCTTAATTACTGCTCGCGGGTCAATGAAAATGGACAATTAGCTGAAATGCAACACTGGGCATTTCCTAACGATGCACCTGATGCTTAACACCAAGCACTTCTCAGGGAGCTCCGTGGGCACCCAGGTTTACCAGTCACTAACAACAGTCATTAGTGTTGTTCATTAGTTCTGTTATCTGAAGGTTAGTGTGCAGTGCGTGAGTCTCCTGCACTGAGACTGAGTTCTTCTGTCATTCTGTTTTCCCAGAACACAGGTCATTCAGGAATGTTCCTTGTAATGCTAAAAGTTTTATGTATGTTTTAAATTAGAAGTAAAAACAAATGATAAAGTTCAGCTGCTCATTTCCACTGTCCACACTGCTTTAAGTCTCCAGTCAAAGCAGAACAGAAGTGCTCTGTGCTTCAAGCCATAAGGTCTGTGGCCAGCACACACAGACTTATCAGTAGTTTCACCAGGGAAAAACTGGCCCCAAAGCACATCTGGCAACATCTGGAATACCTTTTCCATTGTTGTAGCTTGAGGTCTACTGACATCTAAATAAGGAGAGGCCTGAAATGCTGTAGAATATGCTACAGTGCACTCAACAGAGAGCCCCTCACACACACAAAGAATTAACCAAGCTCAGAATGTCAATACAAGAGAGTAGCCTTTAACCAAAATGCTTGTGTGAAGAGTCCAGATTTAAAAAAAAAAAAAAAAAAAATTTACGAAGACACAATGAGATAACCTCGGGGAAAGGGCCCAACGTCAAACCCAAAGTTAAGAGGCTTCACATGGAGCCCAGTAGAGTGGCACAAGCCTTCTAGCCTAGCACTCGGGAGGCAGAGGCGGGTAGGGCAGTACTTCTTTCTTGTCCTTGCGTTCTGACCATGAGGTCAGGCATGGCACTGTCGACCTGGGCCAGTATGTCCATGCTAGAAGTTTTGTACCTTGAGGCATTTGGGGTTTGGGGTTAAGGAGGCCAAGCTGTGGAATAAAAGCTGAGGGACTTAACTGTACTTTGAATTTACCTGACCTCAATCCTTTGATGCAAGGCTCAGATAATGAGTAGGTTTGAAAATTAAAAATTCAGCTTTATACAATGGCTCCTCCACCCCCTGCAAAACACACACATACACACACACACACACACACACACACACACACACACACACGGTAGGTGATATGTACTAGATACATGAGTGGGAAAGGAACAGAGACCGGCAGGAATATTACACCTGTCACTCAAGTAAGATAGTTTCTTCCTATTTTCATGAAGTCAGCTGTTTTCAGACTTCTCACCAATCTTATTATATAACAAGGGGAAAAAATCTGTATCATATTATCCATCGACAGGTATTCAAATGATGCTTTTATTAAAATTATAAAAATCATCACACACTTACAGACTACTTTTGTCTCCCAGCCTTTAGGCTCCAACACTGGAGATAGGTTCCATGCCTTCTCTGACCATTAAAATTAATTACATGCAATTCTAAACAAATATGGCACAGTTCAATATCCCAGGGCCATAAACTTTTCAATAATGTATGTGACTGAAAGAAACTAGCTTCTACTAATCTCTCAGTCCAGAAACATTTCAACATCTATAACAATTTACAAGGGAAAATTTCTTACAAAAACTGACAGGCTCTCCCTGCTCTCCCTGCGACTGCCGTGACAGCTCTGGAACAGTCCCGTGTGCTCACTCAGTAAGTACTGCTCTGAGGCTGTGCAGCCACCTCCATCTTTGTACTTCGTGTTTAAGGCTGAGTTATAAGCCCATGAGCATCCCGAAGGCAACACTGAGATTAACAGCCCTGCAGCGGTGAGCGCCCTTCTGCTGACTCGAATGTAGTGACCCTTGCTCTACTTGGAACCATCACATCACCGCCTTGGGAAGTCGGACGTGAGAGCAGAAAACGCAGGAAACCTACGGTTGGCCCCTTCACTCTTCCCATCAGTTAAAGTCAGCCTGACCACTGCTGGCGCCCGCCCATCTTCACACCCACAGACTCCCCAAGTACTGGCTACTGAAGCAATCGGCCACTGAGCGATACTCATCCTGACATTTTTTTCTTAAACTTGTTTTTTTCTTTTTTTCTGAGACAGGATGCCATTAATTTGCTTGTACTGCCCTTGAACTCATCCTACAGCTCTCCCTGGCCTTGAATGTGTTGTCCTCCTGTCTCAGCACTGCCCCCGCCCTCTAGTAGCTGTCACTCAAATCTCTCAAAGGGTGAATGCAGTACACGTCAAGACACGTGACAAGTACAGTGTGATCTATCACATATCCCTTGGTTCTGCTTGAACCTCAGGAGCAAAATGGGAGATAAACCATCCATCTTCTAAATTATCCAGTTTTGTTACAAGTAGTCAGGAAGTTTAATGGAACTGCACGACCAACAGTTTATTACACCATTGCTCGGACTGGCTAGCCTGGAACT